GCTCTAGAATCCTACTTAATTCTTATTTTTTTAAAAGTTTTTATGTTCTTTTTTTGTGTTGATTTTTTTAATGATTTATAATATTTTTCCAGTTGCCATCGCGATACTTGTTGATTTTACACAAGCAATAATTTTCTTTATTATTATTATCATTGTAATGTCTTTACAGCATTTCTGAGCGGGGAGGAGTACAGCATTGAATAGATATGTAGTGAGCTGACTCATCATGACATCGCATCAGAACTCATAAATATTCATGAACTATCTTTGTATATAATGCATGCTGTGTAAATTATTATAATCAGTGTTTGGGTGTCAACACGAGGCATCGTTAGCTCTAGTGCAGCAATCCTGTCTGCCTTACACATACTCATAGCACTCATTTTTGATTTGCTATAGATATAAGCTCACTGAAGAAATATCAACTATACTGATGACAAGTAAAATTAATACTAGTCTTGACAGGAGTCCTTGTTCAAGAAGCAATTAAAGTATCCATCTTCCTTCCCTGCAATCCTGTAGCTATTCCTGTTCTTCCTGTTAAGTTCATATTATCATTGCATTATTATATAACATTAATTGTTTGTTTTTTTGAAATAAAATACATAGGAAGTGTCTAGAGCTCCGGTAACCGGACACAGTATGCAGTGCTAGAGCTCCGGATCCGGTAATAGGGGCTTCGCCCCTATATATATACTGGGGCTACGCCCCAGTATTAATAATACACTGATTTATATAGTTATAGAAACCAAGTATAAATACAACAACCAGCGTTGATGGTGCAGCAGGGTCGTGGTGGTGCAGTGGAGAGGCTGGTGTGGATTGCACGGATATGGTCAGGGGTTCGAATCCGGTCAGGACTACCGAGTAAAACTATGCTGCAGTTTTTGATTTTTTTAAAAAATATCTTTTTTGCAATTTTTTTCTTTTTGGCTTTTTTGGGTCAAGATATAGCACCCTCTCGTACATCTTAGCCTCCGGGGTCGTAGGGTTGGGATTGGGGCTTAGTGTTTAGTTTTTAGAGCACCCTCTCGTACATCTTAGCCTCCGGGGTCGTAGGGTTGGGATTGGGGTTTAGTGTTTAGTTTTTAGAGCACCCACTCGTACATCTTAGCCTCCGGGATCGTAGGGTTTTGGGGTTAGGGTTTAGTGTTTCTTGATAAAAAGACTAAGTTCCATTTTGCACTATTGCGCATGCGCACAAGCTGTTTTACGGAGAAAAACGGACTGCCGGAGCTCTAGCATTGCAAACTACGTCCGGTTAACGGAGCTGTGGACACAGCCAAATACATAACTCATTACATACTTGATAAAAGAATAATAAGCAAGAATACCTTCCCTTAGCTGGAAACCTCCACTAAGTATGGCAATTGATTCCAAGCATAGCTAGCCTAGCTAGGTAAAAAAATTGCTTGCTTCTCCCAGTTCTGAGGTCCATAGATATTAGAGTAAATGAAAGGGATTGGAAACTACCGTTCCCGCCCGGCGATGCGGTTTTCGTCACCCCTGGTTACCTGGTTGGCAACGTCCGTGTTTGTCTGCATTCCCCATCTCCTCGATAGTAGTTGTTGTGCAGAAAGGATCTCGAAGGAATATTGTGCAACT